AGTGGTGGGCTTGAGCTGTTATAATGATCTACCAGCCTCCGTATTTTAGTCGGATTCTCCCGCTCCTGCCCATACATTGCTAGCTTTAAAGTAGACACCCGTCGATGCCCATCACAACTGAAAAATAAGGCTTCTCAAAGTGGTCGTTCCGCATAGGTGTGACCTTTTTCTTGCTCGATGGTTTTGACTTAGCCAATGGGTTCCTTTAATGTTTCACTTTCAAACTAATTTATTTCAGTCTTCCATACCGAGGCTCACTCGTTGCCATATGGCACTTCGACATTTCGAGAAAGTACTGCAATAAAGAATGGAAGATACGTTTTTCCATGCACGGTTTCACAGATTTTCTTAACAACATTCACAGGTTGGTGCAGATGAATTTGGCTACATGCTTGCTGATATCTTGAAGGAAAACAATGTGAGCGGTGAAGGGATGCTATTCGATCCTGGAGCACGAACTGCTTTAGCGTTTGTTACGTTGAGGAATGATGGGGAACGCGAGTTCATGTTTTATCGCAACCCTAGTGCTGACATGTTACTTCAGGAATCTGAACTCAATTATGATTTAATCAAGAAGGTATTAATAATTTAAGAAGGTACAATTTACAGAGAAAAGCAGAGCATGTAGTAGTTTGTCAGGATCATACACGTGTTATTATAGTCCGTTTAAAGTTCAAAGCTCTATATCCTAAACTACTAAGCTTATATTTGATCTGCTTTATCAATTCCTTTCCAGGCAAAGATCTTTCATTATGGTTCTATCAGTCTTATTACTGAACCATGCAAGTCGGCTCACATCGCTGCTGCAAAAGCCGCGAAAGATGCCGGTGCAGTTCTCTCCTATGATCCTAATTTGAGGCTCCCTCTGTGGCCGTCTGCAGAGAGTGCCATTGAAGGGATTCTAAGCATATGGGATATTGCTGATATTATTAAGGTAGTTTTCATTCTTTTCCGATGATATCATTTGTGGGCATAACTGAGCTGTCTGGTCAATCTGAAATTGAAAAACAGATATCAAATAAAGGAACGGAGATAGCTGACATATATAAACATTTGCAGATAAGTGAAGAAGAGATTAGTTTTCTGACAAGGGGAGAAGATCCATTTGATGATGCTGTTGTTCGTAAACTGTTTCATCCAAATCTTAAATTGCTGCTGGTCACTGAAGGTCCTGGTGGTTGTAGATATTATACCAAGGTAAGCATCCCATACATTGTGCTCATGTGTTGCATACAACGAACGACGTATACAGAAAAACATTTAAAAACCAAAAAACTCGGTAGAGAGACAGCGATTGTGCAGCATTTGTTCCAACTTGGTGAACAAGTCAGCCATATGAAAATGGTAAGTCGCGGACCATTTGGACGTATGATCGAGCCTTGGTCACGTTTGAGAGATAATGTTTTAGAAAACATGAGTGAGGAAATGCGTTGAATTTTTTTTTTTTTTTTTTTTGGTAAGAAAACAATGTTATAGGCTAAAAACAAACAAGTAACAACCACGGGTTTGATAGCACATAACCCGGGTAGAAAGAATTGATGACTAGTCACATCCTCCTATAGTACATTTTGGGGCATTTTAGCCTTAGTGGACGTAGACATGATTTTGGTGACCGATTATACACTCCAGTATTGACACAGTAAGAATAGTAAAGGTCTATCTAACATGAAAGCAAGTAAAAGAGGTTTGGAATGGGCACGCAGCCACCTATTCTTTTCTTGAATCACAAATCACAAACTTGTGACGTATCAACAGGCATGTGGAACCTCATGAGCAGATATCTAATATCTTATCTCCCTTTGTTATTCAAACTTGAACTTAAATTTTAATGTGATAAAAGATATTCTAATTAAGTTTATCAACATGTCGCAGTAAAATATAATCCCGTACGCACTATTTTTGACGCCTCCTAGATTTCAATGATCTACTCGTTAAGAAAGTCGTAACCGGTAGCATTATGCTTAATTTGAGAGTCCATGTGATATGTGTTATGCAGGAATTCAGTGGAAGAGTGAAGGGTCTAAAGGTAGATGCAATTGACACCACTGGTGCAGGGGATGCTTTTGTTGCTGGCATTTTGTCTCAGCTAGCCACTGACCTCTCTTTGCTTCAGGTACCTTTTCTGAATTGAAGCTCTGCATATTTTGTAGAGTTCATGACCACCTCTGAAATGCTTTTTTTTTTGCTCCTTTTCGACTCGTTTTTGAACATGACAAATTTTAAACTATCACTGAACTCAATGAGTCCTTAATGTTAATTGGGAAGGACATGACAACGTACGAATTCGAATAGAGCCTCTTGCTTTGAAACCAAACAAAACTACCTTTAAATTAAACCCAAAAGCATATTGATGCTAGATTATTACGGTAAGATCTCACCTCGATTTGGGAGAAGAACGAAACATTGTTTATAAAGGTGTGGAAACTTCTTCCTTCCTAGCAAACGCGTTTTAAAAATTTTGAGGGGAAGTTCGAAAAGGAAAGTCCAAAGAGGACAATATCTGCTAGCAGTGGACTTGGGCCATTACAAATGGTATCAGAGCTAGACATCGAGCGATGTGTCAATGAGAAGGCCGAGCTCATGTGCCAGCGAGGAGTCTAGGAACGAGTGTCAGCGAGGATGCTGGGTCTCGAAGGGGGGTGGATTGTGAGATCCCACGTCGGTTTGGGAGGAGAACGAAACATTGTTTATAAGAGTGTAGAAACCTCTCTCTAGCCGATACATTTTAAAAACCTTGAGGAAAATCCTGAAAGGGAATGTCCAAAGAAGACAACATCTACTAGCAGTGGGCTTGGGTCGCTACAATTATGTTTATTGTGATTGATTTGTAAATTTGGAGAATTAATTAGACTTTATTGTTCGGTGTAAAATACTTCAAACTCTTTGAACCCACTCGAGTTTTTCAGTTTAGGCTCGCACCCGTAGATTTCAGCATACGAAATCGGTTTAAAATATCACAAACACCAGAAAATCATGCTTATTCAGAGTGTTTGTTTTGCATCTCATTTTCTGCAATTTCCAATACTTCATATAACCCTTTCAAAGTGTTCAAAACCTTATTTACTTCAAAAAAACACTGTGATGTTACTGGTTCTTGTCAGAAAGGTGGCAAGTGAAATAACCGTTTATGTGTCTATTTTGAAACCTTGTAGAAGGAAGACAAACTTAGAGATGCTCTGCTGTTTGCCAATGCTTGTGGTGCATTGACTGTTATGGAAAGAGGGGCCATCCCTGCTTTACCAGACAAAGATGCTGTTCTTAATGCAATCTTCAAAACTGTGTCCTAAGCCCTTCGTCTTTCTATCTATATCTGTATGTATAATAATACTCAACACTTCATTTCCACAAATTTTGGGCAGATTTTAGCTTCTCTCTCTCAATTGTTTCGGCTGTAAGATACTGTGAAATTGTTGTTGTTGTTGTTGTTTCAGTAGATTGGATGTTCCATTGTATTGAATGGCCATGTTTTAGCCATTTATGGTAATGAAACGACCAACAATGAACGACGTTGCTCTTGTTGCTGCCATGTTCTGTGTCTTGTAACGGCTTTTTAGCCGACGGCCTCCTGATTTTGATTCTATTATAATAAGTGTATTTTCTTAATCATTTTTTTTTAAGTTTACTGGTATTAAAGAAGTGAGGGAAAATCATAAAAGTGTGAAGTCTGACATCGTTTGGATAGGGGAACAAAACATTTCGGGTAAAAGGGTGTGAAAACCTCTCCTTAACAAACGTATTTTAAAATCGTGAAGTTAACGTATGTGGACAATATCTGTAAATAGTGTGTTTTGGCTGTTACAAATGGTATTAGAACTAGACATGTGGACAATATCGGTAAATAGTGTGTTTTGGCTGTTACAAATGGTATTAGAACTAGACACGTGGACAATATCTGTAAATAGTGTGTTTTGGCTGTTACAAATGGTATTAGAACTAGACACGGGACGGTGTGCCTGCGAAGATGCTGGACTACCAGGGAGTGAATTATGAAATCCCATCTCTGTGAGGAATTATGAAATCCCATCTCTGTGAGGAATTATAAAATCCCATCTTTGTGAGGGGAACGAAACATTCCTTATAGGGGTGTGGAAACCTCTCTCTAACAAACATGTTCGAAAGAGATACTAAGGGAGTGAATTATGAAATCCCATCTTTACGAGGGGAACGAAACATTCCTTATAAGCGTGTGGAAACCTCTCTCTAACAAACATGTTCGAAAGAGAGAGGAATGAAACATTTCTTATAAGCGTGTGGAAACCTCTCTCTAACAAACATGTTCGAAAGAGAGGAATGAAACATTTCTTGTAAGGGTATCGAAACTTCTCTCTAACAAACATGTTCGGGCTAAAACAGACAATATCTATTATTATAAGGGTGTGGAAACTTCTTCTAACCAACGCATGGTAGAGAAACACATTTTAAAATTTTAAAGCTGACAACGATATGTAACTTCATAGCAGTGAAGGAGCAGGTAAATGAGTAAATCCTTCTTTCCCTTAGTTGCTTTGGAAGACTCAACCTCAAACCGGAACCTGAACCGGAACAGAGCCTAAGGAACCTTGCCCGGAAGGAGCCCTCTCTTCTAGGCTAGGAGGCACTTGGCAACTCACTCGTGGGGCATGATACCCAAAAATGACTCAAATTCTTTCTCCACTGCCGAAAAAGTGTTACCTAAACTTTTATTTTTTTAAATATTCATGAAATCTAGACACTAAAATATGAACTTAAAAACTCAAATCATCAAATGTAACCCAAATCTCAAAATCCAAAAATGTATTTATTTCTAAAATTAATATTGTATCAATAAATTTATAAATTTTAAATAATGTGACACATTATACACATAATTAAAGAACTTACGGTTAGATTTTTAAAAACTTGATGATGAACACATTTTAAAAATTAAAATTTCTAATTTACACCGATCTATAATTAAATTTGCAATTTGAAATCTTAAAGAATTAGGAGTTAAATTGGAGCAAAATCAGTTGAAAAAAGTTGATTAAAAATTGAAGCGATCCGAGAAAGTGTTGGCGGACATCGCCATATTATTCGCAGATCAGAAATCAGAAAGCCCTAAATTGAGCAAAAATCAGTTCAACGGAACAATCTCGAAGAAGGAGACGACACCAGGTGGTTCCAATGCCAAAAAATTAGGGCAAAACAGAGATTATTAATGGAACAGAGGAAAAGAAAAAAAAAAAAAAAAAAAAAAAAAAAAGAAGAGTAGGAGAACGAAGGAGTCGCCTCCAAGCAAGATTACTCGGAATCGAAGCTGTAGAAATGGCGGAGAGTGACATAAGCGCAGCCGAGTGCGAGAGGATCTTCAAGCGATTCGACGCGAACGGCGACGGGATGATATCGGCGGCGGAGCTGGTCGATGCGTTGAACGGATTGGGAGTGAACGCGGAGGAGGCGAAGAGGATGATGGACGCGATTGACAAAGACGGCGATGGGTTCATAACGTTGGAAGAGTTCGCGGATTTCGCGAAGGATAATCGCGCGTTGATGAAAGATTTTGCGAAGGCGTTTTAATTTCCTTTTTTGTTTTGATCTGATAAATGAGACGATGAAGAAGAAAATATGAATATGGCTTCAACCAAGGAGGCTTATTCTTCCTGTTCTTCGTGTTGTGTTTGTACCACATAATATATATAAAAAAATATACATTACTATTTCAATTATGTGTTCTTCGGAGATGTTTTTACTCTTATTTCAATTATGTGTTCCGTCCCTCTAATTCCATTTAAAAATATGACATGCCCATCAGTTTCATGCCTAAGATTCATATTAAGATTTTGAATCTTCATTTTGATTCGAATTGTAAACATGGTCGTTTGAATTTTAGTGTTATGTTTGAATTGCTATTTATTTTAATAAAAACTTTAAAGTATGGATTATTGTTTGCCGGAATTAGTTTGAAAGTGTCCATCATATGCATGTAATGATAGCCCGATCATATAGTTTTGGTTAAATTAATAAAATGTCCATTTTTGCACCCAAATAATAATAATAATAATAATAAAGTTTTTGTTAAATTATAAAATACCCAAAATTTGAGGTTGTTTAAGCTATAAACTTTAAAAAGTTTTAAATTTATTTGTGAACTATGAAGGTGGTTTAAATAAAATACTTTTAAGTGTTTATTATTATTTTATTTTTGTCAAAAAAAAAAAAAATTGATTTGATTAATTTGCGTAAAAATTAAAAGATATTCGTGACATTATTTATTTTAACACTCACTAATTCGATAATTTGGACTACTCAATTCAAACCATAAAAATTGGGTTGAGTTAGATTTTTTTAAGTATGAGTTAGTTGAATTTTTGGGAAATCGAAATTTCAGGTCGGTTAATGGGTTGACATTTTTTTTAGTCAACCCGACCAACTCGAATAAGGTTACAACCCAAACCAACCTAACCCATCCTTATCATATTTTCAAAATTATTATGAAAATTAAGAATACTTGACGTTTGTAACAACCTAACCCATCCTTATCATATTTTCAAAATTATTATGAAAATTAAGAATACTTGACGTTTGTAATCGATGTTAGTGAGACATTGCAACTTATAAATGTTTAACATTTGAGTTTAATAAAATTTTAATTATTAATATAACATATATTATGGATAAATAATATATTTTTTTTAAATAATAATAATAAAAAAAAAAGTGACAATCATCCCAATAATTTTCATTCTTTTATTTTAGAATATTTGTTTATTAAAGGTATTTTTTAAAACAAAGTCGGACAAATTTGATGGATATTTTATATAAGAGGCCATTAAACTACATCATTTAAAAAGTGGAAACTCCATTATTCAATAGTGCCAAACAACAATCCAATACAAAAAAAAAAAAAAAATTATTTCGTATTCTATTCCATACGTAAGCAAACTCACTCCGTTGTGAGATCTCACCTCCGTTGTAGAGGAGAATAAAACATTTATTATAAAAGTAGATGCGTTTTAAAATTGTGAAACTGACGGCAATACGTAATGGACCAAAACGAACTATATGGATTAATTAATGTAATGACTCGATGGGCCCGGGTTAAAAAATGTTAAGAGATAACAACTCCACAAACTGGATTTAAATACATAGTTAGTGGGGGGAAAATGTGTATGATGAAGTGTGATAAAGAGGGTTAAAAAATATAAAAAGTTGGGCCAAATTATTGAGTGGAAGTTCAAATCATCCCTAAAATATTCACCCAAATACACTATAAAATGCCTCTCCTGGCTTAAGCTTTGAATCAAATCAAAACAAAATGAGCCAAATTGAAAGCATTTGGGGAAAGGTTCAGCTAAAATCGTCTCCTGAGAAGTTCTTTGGCTTCTTCAGGAACCATATGGGCGATTTGGTCCATATGTTCCCTGACCACTTCCAGAGCTTCCACTTTGTTGAAGGACAAAACTTCGACGATGGCAGCGTCGTGCACTGGAAATACCACCTCGGTGAGATATTATTATCTCGTTTTTTCGACTTTTAAAATGTTTACTTTAATCTTTACGATCTCAAGCTCTGGTTTTTGAGTTTTACCATGTCTATTATTTGTCTAGACCGGTAATTTATAGGGTAGAGATTAAAATTTCTAAACGGTTGGTTAAAGTTATAATATCTTAGCTAGTCGAACAATATTTAACTTTATAAGTTTATTTTTTAATAATACTTAACAAAATAAACTTGGGCATAATTCTAAAATAGTTAGTTTGAAAAAAAAAAAAAGTAAATACTACTACCGTCTTTTAGTGTGAGATCCCACATCAGTTAAGGAGAAAACGAAACATTCATTATAAGGGTGTGGAAACCGCTCCCTAACAGACGGGTTTTGAAACCATAAGGTTGACGATGATACATAACTAGCTAAAACAGACAATATTTACTAGCTAAGCGATCTTTTAGAGTGAGATCCCACGTCGGTTGAGAGAGAAAACGAAACATTGGGTGTGGAAACCTCTCCTTAACAAACGCGTTTTAAAATTATAAGGTTGACGACGATACATAACGAGTTAAAACAGACAATATTTGCTAGCAATGGGCTTGAGTTATTACATTTAGTAGAAAATTAAGAACAAAATCGATATCAAACGAGATCAAATTTTACACCGGAACGTATGGTTGTTGACGCATGAAGATACTAAAGAAAGGGTGTTGAATGATGAACAAATGAACAGGAATTCCAGAAGCAGTAAAGATAAAGATGAAGAATAGGGATGAAGCAAGGACCATAATTTATGAAGTTGTTGAAGGAGATGCACTAAAGCATTACAAAGTTTTCAGAGCCAAACTTGAAACTGTTAGTGGAGGGTTAAACAAAGTGGGAGGAAGCTTTGCAAAATGGACAATTGAGTATGAAAAGGCTCATGAAAACGTTCCTTCACCAGAAACCTACATGGAATTGGCTCTCAAAGTCAGCAAAGGTCTCGATGCTTATCTTTATCGGAACTAAACCTCTATAACAACTAAGTGCATGCCCTAAGTTAATGCCTTTTCTACTTGGTTTGCTCTTTAAATAAGAACTTCTATGTGTAATGTAATGTTGTGTTGTATAATTATGTGGGCTTTGGTGAAAATGTGTGTTTATATTTGATTGAAAAGTTATGTATATGTGTGTCAACGCTCTTAGAAACTCAATGGGAAATTTGATTTCAAGTGTGTTTGTAATAGTCTAAGCCTATCGCTAACGGATATTGTAACGACTCTAAATTCCTACATACTTAGGAGTCGCTATTAACATTTCATGCTCATCTCTAATGCGGAAATATAACTCTTAAAATGAAATCATTTATAACATAAACTTTGAAAAAGTTTAAAACAACTTTTCTATAGAAAATACAACCATGGTGTTACGTGTTTAAATACGAAATACTCAAGTTTAAACAAAACAAAAACAAATACAAACTAATTTAAAACGAAGAAATGCAAAACAACCTATTCTAACCTAAAACTAGGAATTTAAATATGTGACTAACCTATACACGTGCCATAGTTTCTACTTGCGATGATGCCGTGCTCCGTACAAGTGCGCCTTGGCTTTACTATTGGGAGCCATATAAACCCTAAACACATGCAATCATGATTTAGGGACCTATTTCTAACATTATAGGGTAGCCTCCACTCTCGGACAAATTGGATGTGCACACGTCTCACACGTGCGAGTGTGAATCCCTAAGGCGCTCGCACACCCCCTGAACCCTCTGGTCAAGCTAACAAATACTGTATGCGTTGGCTTGTTATGTATCACCATTAGCCTCATAGTTTTAAAACGAGTTTGCTGGGGAGAGACTTCCATATTCTTATAAGGAATGCTTTGTTCCTCTCTACTACCGATGTGGGATCTCACAAGGTTCGAAATGAAATATCAATGCTTTCAAATTTTTAATGATATTGTTAATAATTTAACTTAATAAAAAAAAAAAAAAGTTAGGTGACTATTCATGCTTAAGATTCAGATAATTCAGAATCTCTATTTGACATAAAAAAAAGATACTGTTTGTACTCTAACTTTCATTTCTTTTCTTAATCATCATATTTTTGGGTGGGGACAAGAGGGTAAGTACTAGCCTACTTGTCATCCAAGGGAGATTAGTTGACAAACCCATCTCATAGGCCATGTAGTCGCTTGAGGTTGGGGGCGCTACCCCCCATACATGCTAGATCCAAAGGTTACCTACATGGTCAACACTCTCTCGCAGGACGGATCCTCCGTGCTGGTAACCACAGATTACTCACATGATCAACACCCTACCACAGGAAGAATCCACCGTGCACGGTAATCCATCAAACCACTAAGTCACACATCCCTAACTAGTCTCATGCCTAGCACAACGATACCGTACCGGAGTGGAAAAGGAAGTGGAGGTCCTTAAACACTATACTAGCTGCTATCCGCCTAGGAGAGCTACCTTTGTCATTCATAGATACTGTGGAGGTTTGCTAGGTTCTTAGGGGTGTCTAGGTGGTTTGAATTCCATCTCATTTTAGAACGTCCAAAGATTAACTCCACAAGCTAACCCAATCTTTTGGTGCAAACAGATCTAAACCATTGATTGCTCATGATCATGGGGTGCATGGTCTACTGGAAACGTACTTGGAAACGTACTTACCTGAGTCAACATGTAAATCACATTAGTTGTAGCGTATTAATTTTAACTCAGTTCTCTCATGCATGTTTTGATATAGAGATATTCTTATCGATCCCTTAAGCACGTAATCCATAATTTAAACTTCACCTTAATCATATCTGGGTGTTGAGGAGGTTTATTGGATTCCTAAGGCGACTGGGTAGCTTAACGCAAACTTCTAATTCCAGGTTGCTTTGTTCTGACCCCTCGAGTCTTTCTTAGTCTGGGAGCACTAGGTGTAGACCTTTTGACTTTCGATCACGATCCTAAGGTGCTCAGTCTACTAGAGGCATCCAGATCTAGGTCATTTTCTAGTCAACCTAACTCTAACGCCCTAGGTCTGTACATATGAGCACAGTCTACAGGGAGAACACAGAATCAAACACGTGGAACTAACACATACTATATCATTGCAAACATACAAGCAAAGAAGCTTAACGAGAAGATACCATCCATAAATCATCGGAGCACATATCACAAAAACCCATCCTCTTTTCTTAAAAGCATATAAAACAAAATTCATCACAAATCTCACTACAGATGCATTTTGATAATTTTTTATATCATGCATAACATACTCATCCATATTGATCAACTCGTATTCTAGTCATGCATATTCTCTTTCTAGTTTTGCATAAACATAAAACAACACGCTTCTTAGAAATCTCAACCTAAGAACACAACGTTAATTTACCATAACATACATACAATACATACTCATTAAAAAACACCCATCCCAAGTCCTTAACATTCTACTTAGAAATCTCAATATTGATTTTTTTTAAGATTAAAAAAACCCAAATGAAACTTAAACAAGCAACAAGAAAAAAATGATCAAACATCTTTAAAAATGAGAAACAAAAAGGCTTCCCAAAAATTATTTGTCAAGTGGATTGAGCCAAAATGAACTCATAAAACAAACTAGAGATTATTTTACAATCTTAAGCTGATCTCCAAGAGATAACAACTCCACAAACTGGATTTTAATACGAGTTAGTGGGGGAAAAATGTGTATGATGAAGTGTCACAAGAGGGTTAAAAAATATAAAAAGTTGGGCCAAATTATTGAGTGGAAGTTCAAATCATCCCTAAAATATTCACACAAATACACTACAAAATCCCTCACTTGGCTTAAACTTTGAATCAAATCAAAACAAAATGAGCCAAAGTGATAGCATTTGGGGAAAGGTTCAGCTGAAATCGTCTCCTGAGAAGTTCTATGGCTTCTTCAGGAACCATATGGGCGATTTGGTCCATATGTTCCCTGATCGTTTCCAGAGCTTCCACTTTTTGGAAGGACAAAACTTCGACGATGGGAGTGTTGTGCAATGGAAATACCACCTTGGTGAGATATTATCATTATTATTATTATTTGGCTGTTTTCTTCAATTTCTTTTAGGTTTAAATCCTATGTTTGTCTTTTAAAATGTTTATTTTAATCTTTACGAATTTTGAAAAGACGATCAATCTCTAGTTTTCGAGTTTTTATCATATGTAGTAATTTATAGGGTAGAGATTAAAAATTGTAAACAGTTGATTAAAATTATAATATCTTAGCTTGTGAAATCGGACGTCAGTCAGTAGGAGAATGGAACAAAACATTACTTATAAAGGTATGAAAACCTCTATTTAATATACGTATTTTAAAACTATTTGTTAGCAGTGTGTTTAAGTGGTTATAAATGGTATCAGACTCAGACACCGGACAATATGCTATCAAGGCCAATGAAGAGAGTGAACTATCCCTTTTAAGGGTGTGAAAACCTCTCTCTAATAGACGACGATATGTAACGGGCTAAAGCAGATAATATTTGCTAGCAGAGTAGGAGATCAAATTTTGTATGGTTGTTGATGCATGAAGATACTAAAAAAAGGGTGTTTGAATGATGAACAAATTAACAGGATTTCCAGAAGCAGCAAAGGTACGGATGAGAGTTATGGATGAAGCAAGGACCATAATTTATGAAGTTGTTGAAGGAGATGCACTAAAGCATTACAAAGCTTTCAGAGTAAAACTTGAAACTGTTAGTGGAGACTTAAACAAAGTGGGAGCAAACTTTGCAAAATGGACAATTGAGTATGAAAAGGCACATCAAAACGTAGCTTCACCAGAAACCTACCTGGAATTGGCTCTCCAAGTTACCAAAGGTTTCGATGCTTATCTTTATCGGAACTAAACCCCTAAAACAACCAAGTGTATGCACTAAGTTCATGCTTTTTCTAATTGGTTTGCTCTTAAGTAAGAACTTTTATGTGTAATGTAATGTTATGTTGTATAATTATGTGGGCTTTGGTGAAAATGTGTGTTTATATTTGATCCAAAGGTTATGTATGTGTGTGTGTCAATGCTCTTAAAAACGCAGTGAAAAAAATTTGATTTTAAGTGTGTTTATAATCGCTTAAATCTACCGCTAATAAATATTGTTCGTTTTGACTCGTTACGTATCACCGTCAGCCTCACGGTTTTAAAACGCGTCGAGAGAGGCTTCCATACCTTTATAAAAAAATGATTCATTCTTCTCATAGTGTTCAAAGTGAAATCGTCAATGCTTTCAACCTTTTAATGATATTGTTAATAATTCATCTTAATACAAATAAAAAACAATTAATTATGTAACTATTCATGCTCAAAATTCAGATCACGATCCAAAATCTGAATTCGACACCAAAAAAAGAAGGTTCACATTGTTTATATTGGTAGTAAATTTCATTTCCTTTCAGATTTTCTTAATCATCTTAGTTTTAGGATCGCACTCTAGTATTGGTTCATTCATGTACCCCTCCCTTATAGAGTGTCACGCATCTAAAATTATGTAATATAATTAAATTGTTAGTAGTGGTTGAACCAAACATTAATATTATTTATTTATATGAAATTCTGATAGTATTTCATGCCCACCAAATATTTTTATATGATTTTTAGATATCTTAAACAACTTTCAACCAAACGACCCCTTAAATGCGATGTACATACATAAGTCCTCTTCAAAGTGTTGGAAGGTGACGTGATCATCGGGTGACCATCTTTGAGTTTTTTTAGAAAGATGATATTGATTTCTTGAAGGTGAAGTGATCATCGAGTCACTTTATTTTTTGTGAATAATGAAGTCTATATGATCTTTATTTTTTCGATCATATAGACTTTCACGACCCCACATACGCCAATTGTTGATGCTAAAATATTACCTTAAAAAATCTCACTTGACTTTTACGGCCTCAACAGTAAATTTAGTGAGATCGAGAACAAACTGTATATAATCTTTATTTTTTTCGATCATGCATCTCTGACAAAACACTCTCATCCCCATAGATGACAACGGTTGATACCAAAATCTTGTCATGCAAAATTTCACCTTATTTTCACGGTCTCAACGGTAAATTTGGTGAGATCGAAAATAAGCTTAATCTGATCTATATTTTTCTTGGGTTCTTGACCTTTTTTCGAGTAGTGTTCTAATAATTTTTTCTTCTACACGATCTTGAAATTCTACCTCTAAAAACCCAAAAAATTTCTAAAAAATTAGAACTATAAAGAAAAAATTGAAAAATTAATTTTCGTTGGAACTCAGATATTACATTCAACCTCGCCTTTTCACCTCTGCTATAACGATGACAATATCTTAGTTAAGACGCCAACTATTGATGCCAAAATCTTGTTACCGAAAATCTCACCTAACTTTCACGTACTCACATATATTATATTACTATTTTCTAAATTGAGTAAGTGGAACCAACAAACAAACATTATTTTACACAATCTTGCTGATATGCAACAGATAACAACTCTAATACTTGGATTTAAAATAAAGTTAGTGGGAAAAATAAAAGATATTGAAGTGTTCATAATGAACTAATCACAAGAGTTTTTAAAGAATGATAAAAAGTTGGCCAATAGAAAATATTAATGATTAAATTTATCATTACCAATCGACTTAAGTTGAGTTTATTCGTAATTTAATAGACATGATAGGGAGTTTGTGATCGAATTCCCTTGTGGGTTACTTTTATACTTTTAATTATTTAATCTTTTTCGATTTATTTGTTAGCTAATCGAAGAGGAGAAGAAATATAAAGGTGCCTACTTGTCAAAGCATAGTTCTTATCTTTTTAGTAGCTAGTAAAAATGAACCTAACACCAGTCTCGAAAAATGAATAAATGAATCTTGATGTAATTTTAAGTCTATTTTTAAGTCAAAGAATTTTTAGGGACAAAGAACTAAGTGAATTGGGACTAAAAATTAACAATCAAGGTGCTTTAGGATAGAGTAGGGTTAAGTTGTAACCCTATTACCAGGTTGGTCGAGTTGACCGGACTAAGAAAATGTCAACTCGCAAGCTAATCCAAATTTTCGATTTTCAAAAAATTTAACTCAACTGAAATCGAAAAAAAAAAAAAAAAAAAAAAAAACTTAACCATACCCAACTTTAATATCTAATTGTAAGTTAAAGCCTAAGAATTTAATATCTAATTGTTTTGTTTAGTGGATGTAGCACTCAAAAGATAGACAAAAGTTCTTAAACTAACCTTTAATTTCTCTTAAAATATTGGGAACTTGCATATAATGCAAATAAAATCCAATTAATTTCAAGTATATTGGCACTAACATTATGTATTTGCAAATAATATACTAATTTTAAATTTTTTTCGTTTGCTTACTTCAATATTTTTATGTTATCTTCTAATACTCGTTTACGTCGTCAGTGATGCATTGAGATGTTCGTAAAGGAATAGGACGTCTTTCTCGTTTTCATCTCCGATTTTAATCTTTATTCCTTCAAATTTTTTCATTTATTTTTAAAAGAATTGGGATGAAGATTGACCGTGGAGAATTCGTGTAGGGCTCGAGATCCGTGTAGAAATTTTTTTATCCATTTTATATTTCTCTCTCTATACGTATATTTATTTATATTTATATATAAAAATGAAGCGAGACGAGTCGGGATGGGGATTTTTGCAAGGTTGGAGAGGGGGACTAGATGAGATATATAGTTTCAATTCCCGACCCCATTTAGTTAATAAGAATATGTGAGATCCCACGTTGGTTGGAAATGAGTATTATAAAAGTATGGAAACTTCTTTCTAGTAGACGTGTTTTAAAACCGTAAGATTGACGGCGATACATAACGGGTTAAAGCAGATAATATCTGCTAACGGTGGACTTAGGTTGTTACAAATGGTATCAGAGCCAGACACCGGGCGGTGTACCAGCGAGGGCGCTGGCCCCCAAGGGGGTAGATTGCGAGATCCTACATCAGTTGGAGAGTGCAACAAAACATTTCCTTACAAGCATGTGGAGAGGGGAACAAAACATTTCTCATAAGGGTGTGAAAACGTCTCCCTACTAAACACGTTTTAAGATTGTGAGGCTAATAGCAATACATTGCGGGCCAAAGTAGACAATATCTACTAGCAATGGTCTCAGACTGTTACATGATAAATCTCATTTCGCTCCATTGTTTTATGTTTGAACGAAAATTTTTCACTCTATTCGAGATAGGTAAAATAAATATCTTGATAGATTTTTAACATGCTTATAATATTTATGCTATTAGTCTATCAATGACAGACGCCTTATCAAATGCTATTGTTGATATGGTCTAGTTTGAACATAAACCCTCAGTGACTTTTTTTTTTTTTAAAGATGCCATACTAATCGAGAAAATTATCCTCATTTTTTTAACTAATGCGAGGATTTTTTGCACCTAAAATCTGTGATTTAAAATACAATTGATCGGTGGTGTTTGAAATAATTCCTAAAATATTCATCCAACTTTGCTATAAAATCCCCCTCTTAGAAGTTCTATGGGTTCTTTAGGAACCATTTGGGAGATTTGGTGGACTTGTTTCCTGAGAATTACAAGAGCATTCAACTTGTGGAAGGACAACATTTCTCCGGTGGCAATGTTGTTCTATTTAAATTCCAATTTGGATTTGGTGAGACAATAGTTACTTCTCATATTGCATAACGTTGATTATATATATTTGTTCATGCATGATCAGGATATTAAAGATACTTTTCTTTTATCTTTTCTTATGAATATGATCAAACAGGACATCAACTTCGAGTTGAAAAATGGGCAATAAGGGCTGTGGATGATGTGAAGAAATACATAATCTATGAAGCTGTTGAAGGAGATGTTCTAAAGCAATTCAAAGTGCTTAGAGTAAAAGTTGAAGCTGTTCATGGAGGATCAACCAAAGTAGGGGGGGGAAACTTTACTAAATGGACTGTTGAGTTTGAAAAGGCAAATGAAAATGTGGCCTCACCACAAAACTACTTGGAGTTGTTCGTCAAAATCTCAAAAGGGGTGGATGCTTATTTCTCCAGGAACTAAAATCCTACAATAATGAAGGGAGTGATCTTAAGTTTGGCTGTGTTTTCTACTTGGTTTGTTCTAAATAAGAAATTATATGTGTAATATGTTTACATATGGGTTATAAGGATGCATGTGGGTCTATTATTATATGTAAGTCTACTTATGTGTGTGTGTAAGATCCCAAATGTGATATCTAATGTGGGTTTATGGTCTAATGAATTATAACTCATCAAAATGTTTATGTTATAAATCCATGGGTCTTTATTTATGGAGAAATCATAATTGAATTGAAAATATTCAAAGAGCAAAAAAAATTAAAAGTGATTTGTATGTGAAAACTCAACTCGAGATGTCTATTTAATTCGTGGGACTAAGTGTCATAATCGCACTCTTACAGTAGTGCGACACTTGTTCTAACCCAGCGAACAAGTCAGTTGTGAGAAGTTTGAACTTTGTGGATAATGTTGATGTATGCTCGAGCCTCGAATCATGTTTGAGAGGAATGATTTAGAAAATGTGGACGGAATGATTTAGAAAATGTGAGCGAGAAAATACATTGAAAACAATTTAAAAGAAAGATATGTTATAAGCTATAAGCTATTAGGCAACAACAATGACCTTAATAGCATATAACATCGGTAAGAAGAAGTGAATAGAGAGAGAAAAAAAAAGGATCGTGAGCAGAAGAACAAGTGTGTGAGAGTAGAAATGTCTATTTCACGGGAAAGAATTCATTTAAACAGAGAATGAGAAAGTAGACACGAAAAAATAAATGAAATCCTTCAACCCAAACTTTAAATGGAGAAGAATCTTGAGAACCGTGTGTCTTCAAGAGATCAACCCTTCAACAATGTGTCTTGAATCCCTTAAAGTTTGTTTTATCACTGTAATTACATATTTTACGATGAATAATGTGACCAACAATAAACGAAGTAATAACAACCCTATTTTTTCATAATAAAATGTAGATACACTACATGTATGATATGTTTATTATATGC